GTTTATTCTCTTTATTAAAGATGTAGAAAATAAATAAAATAATGCTGTTTTTATTGTCTTATATACACAGTAGACTCTTAATACAGTGAGCATTCGATATAATGAACTATTTTGTTGGTCCTTGCTATAGTGAATAATTTATCTTGGTATTTTGAGAGTTCACTATGTCAAGAGCCCACTGTACTATACATTAATGTAGTAAAGTACGTTTGTGAAGAATTTAAGGCCTTTGAGGCCCTTTTGAAGAAAAAACTATATAACCTGAAACTGTTTTTCTCAAAATATTAAACATGTTTTTCAATGTAATAATGGTGTTTTTCATTATAATCAACTTACTTAATGTACTTCCTGGTATAAAGTAAAATAAAACCAGAAGTAAATGAGTCTTATTTAAACTTTGTTAATTATCTAATTGTAAAATATTTTTCTTTATATTATACGAAAAAAAACTTAATGTTTTATGGCTCTGGAATTGCGGTGCCTTTCTAATTTACGAAATGTGCCAACCGATAAATTCACCACTGTATATAATACTTTATATAAGGGTAGATATAGTATAATATATATAGATAGATATGCTGTATACATATATATATATTATATTCTAAATACTAGATCTAAATACAGATCACAATTCTAAATACAGCTCTCTCTTACATAACTTTCGTTTCGGTTTCGTCTCAGGAATTTTTTATATAATCAATGCAATTTTCGCGATTTCGGACCTTGTTTGGAACCTCACATCTTGGCACGATCATTTGTTGCATAATTCGTTGCAATCTACTTCGTAGATAAAATGAGTGTTCTCGACAGTGTATGTGTTACCGCTAAAGCTCGAAATCCGTTAATGTGTACATTACCTAGCTAATCTGCAGATTAACTAGGGTGATCCGTTAAAGCTGCGAAAATTGTTCAATTTCTCAAATTACCTAGGTAATTTGCAGAGTATCTAGGTAATCTGCACATTAACGGCTTCCGTATCGTTAAAGTTCAAAAGTTTGTTTCTTTCACTNTAAATTCATTCAAAATTTAAATGTTTTTATTATTTTCAAAATATTCAATTTTTATCAAATTTTTATGTTTAAAGAAGATTTAAGGAATAGATTTATTTATAAGAAATTCGAATAAATATAAAATAATAATTTCTAGAAGTAATTTTATCGATTTGAAGTGTTATTTTTAATAATTTTTTTTCTAATTATTTTTAGATAAATCTTAAATTATAATTACGTAAACTGCTTCACATATAAATTAATATAAGTTATATAAAAATAGTTTTAAAAATATATTTAGAATATTTCTTCAAAACATATTAAAGAAAACTTGTTTTTATATAAAAAATTTAAAGAAGAAAATCTTTAAAATTTTATATTTAACTTATCTAGAAAATATGAAAAATAAGAAAATAAACAAAATTCTAGACCAGCTTAATTACATTTTTGTATTATTAGCAAAATAAACATTTTCTAAAAACTTTTTAAAAAAATTTCATGTAAAAAATGAATATATAAAAATAGAAAAAAAAATTATTAATATTTTTCCTTAATGTTACTATCATGAAAAATGGTTAATGTCAAAAATTCTTTAAAATATTACGTCTAATCCTTCTAACAACACACTTTAATCCACCATAAAGAAATTCCCTTCCAGCTTATTTTTATTATTATTATTTTTTTTTGTATTTTTTTTTTCTACTATTAATTTTTTTTCCTTCCTCACATAATGATAAATTATTCCTTGCACACATCATAAAAATTTTTATTAAATTTATGTTAATTAATTATCCATCATTTTCTCTTTTTTCTTTAATATATACAGTATATTTTAATATTACTTATCTCTTAATATCTTCAGCTATATTTATTATAAAGATACAACAACGTGATAAACACTTAGTAAAATTACGTAGGAAGTGTCCTAGTGCTTAATGTTTCGGATAAAGTTTTATTAAATAAATTAATTTAGGATCTTTTCTGAGTAATTTTTTTTTAAGTTTGTAAAATATTTGGATGAAATAAATAATAAAATTCGATCTCACGCAACGAAAGTAGTGTTATTAAACCATCTCTTCTATCATCTTTAGCCAGTTTGTATAATGAAGCAAGATATGTTAACGATAGCTATAACAATGAAGGTATATTATTTCAATGGTCGTTGCACTCTGATGCGGTTTCCAATATACTGTACCTTGCCACTACTCTCTGGGTAATGACCACTCGGAGACTAAAGCTTAGAAAATTAATGGATCGACTGTATTAACAATCTGATAGAGGACGATATCTGCGACCTTTCAATTGTTAAAGATGTATGTTTAATATTATATAAAGCATTGGACGATTCTGTTTCAACTTATAATTCGATCTTTACTCTTCCGTTTTGATTTAATTATATCATATAAACGTGTAATTGCTTCATTATAGGTCTATGAACTGTTGGGATGCAATAAAACTTTAAACAGATGTTCTATTGTTGCTTATTTTTTATTTTATTGTTTGTATCTGTCTGGGCGATAGGAGTCGAATTGTTGAGTCCTATATACTACAATTAAAATGTATATATAATAAGATATATACTTGTATATATTTAAGCTTAAACTATAGCAAAACTTGAGTGAAAATGCATTATAAATCCTACTATATTTAAACTTCATGAATCTCTGGTTATCTTCATAATGCATTAAATTTAATAATAATTATAAATGTATATATTTGAAATATAAAATTTAATATTTCAAGTATTCCTCGTCGTAAATTTATTAAATATTTAATTATATTTATTTACAAATTACATAAATCAATAATTATAAATTAACTCTGTAATGCCGTTATATTTCTTACTCGGGGAATTTTTATGTGTATTAATTTATTTATCGCATATTTTTTATATAAAATTTATTAATTTATTACGTGTGATAAGTATAAAATTATATATAATAAGAAAATAACTATAAATTAATACGAAGGAGTTTCTAGAAATGCATCTAAACTAATAAAATAGAGTAATAATTATTCAATTTTTAAATAAAATTTAAGGTATGTAAGCATATATCGAGAGTCGGGAGTCTAGACTGAAGAAAGGAAGAGAATTTGAGGGTGAAAAAAGAGGATAAGAAAGAAGAGAGACGGTCCCAATAGTGTACTTAAGCATTAGATTGGGCGAAATATATATAGAACTATATAGATTAATATAATATATTTACATCCTTGACATTAAATTCTATTCAAAATATATTGAATAACAATGAAACTATGTCGCAGTATAGTTCTATTGAGAATTTCCTATTAGTACACATAATTACAGTAAATTATTACGCTATTATGTTGTAACAACTCCTCGGAAATCATCGGAAACTCTATGAAATTTCCACAGTTATTCAATAGAAATTTAACATATCGATTGGAATTTCTCAAAATAAGGAATTGATATATAACAGGAATCTTTACATAAATCATTTATCTTTTTATATATAATTTTTGTTAATATAATTACTAGAATATATATTTATAATAATTTACAGATAGATCAAAGCTTCTCTGACAAATTCAACTCTGCAGGAACGTCTTATTAAAAAAAATAAAAATAATAATAATAATATTCATATATTAAAAAAAAATATGAAATTTTATTACTTTAGAACGTCAATCATTGATAAATATGAACCAAAAATTTTTAATAAAAAACTATATTTTTTATTTTAATTTCTTTTTTTTGGCATAAAAAAATTCTGGGAAAATTGATGGCATCATTATATTTGTTTATTGATTGTTTTTATTGGATTTTCTAAAAAAAATAAATATTAAAAAATGTATAAATGGTATGAAAGAAGAGCAAAGTACTGAAAAATTTAATTTTGTTTTGATATAAGTTGACTTTGATGACATATGAAAAGAAAAAAAAATTGAAGCAGTTTCATTTGCATTATACAATATCCAATTTTAAGTTGCTTCTTTCAATATTGTTGCTATTTTTTATAATATTTGATAGAATTAAAGTTATGTTTTTAATTATAATTAAAATTTTTATTTGTTTATTATATTTATTTACATGTAACTTAATATATTTTGGAGATATTTGTGTTTAAACTTACCATTTAAATTTTGGAAATTTGTAGTGTAGTGTGATTTATAATACATAAAAATCTGTGTACATCTGTGTTAAAATATGTTTTAAAAAAATGTAAATTTTTATAATTTCGTGAATATTATAGGCCTACATAAAATATCGTTTTAAAATATTATATTTTAAGCATAATAAATGTTAAATTGTTAAACATGTATAGTAGCCTTTAGTTATAGTTTATACTATATTATATATAAATTATTATGTACATCATAGTTTATATGAGCTATAAACTAATCGAAACGTGTTTTATACTAGCTTATATATTAAAATTATAATGAATGGACTATAAATTAATTGGTATAACTACAACGTATAGAATTAAATGTACAGCAGTTTTAATATATGAACGTTTATGAATATTACGCTTAAAATACATAAATATAAACTATATAATACTATAATGCATATATGTACATATTATATAAATTTAAACCATATAATGCAAATTATTTAATATATTGGTTTAAACGTTCATATAAATATTACATTTATGTAAAAGGGATGTATAATTGGAAGTTTAGGAAGAGTTTGAATGATACGAGATGGGGTCCTACCAGTCGTAAATGTAGAATCCCACTCCCTTCTGAAAGCTATAAAAATAAGGGTATTATTTTCATTTTATGTTTTTTCTTACATAAAAGATCAAATTTTAAGGCCTCTGTGTCCGGAACTCGGACCACATAGTCTGCTAAACCCCCACTCTATCTAGGTATGTATGTATGTATGCTGTAGAGGTGCCCATCTCTCTCCGAAAGACACGAAGGCGATTCCTATTATTATTTTTATTTTTATTATTATTTTTTTACATAAAAGATTAAGTTTTAGGACCTTTGTCTGGAGCGAATAGTCTGCTGACTCCTTATCCATGTATGTATGTCCAGTCAGAGATGGTCCCAAATGTATGCATTGAATGAATGACTCTCAACACATTCTAAAACAAATTAAAGAATAAATTACAGGACACAGTTGTTATTTTATACACAAATTTAAAAAATTATATATATTATTTTTTTCATTAAATAACAGGAAAATTGATTTATCTTGTAATATTTTCTCTGTCAAAACAGTTGTAGATTATAGTTGATCCGAAAACATGATAAAAACTTTCTTCTAAAACGATCACTTCTAGATTTCTCTACAAACAATAACTCAATTTTCTAAATGGCTGCGTGTAGGAAGGAAGTAAGTCTAAACGACGATGTCGTATTCAGTTAACATGATCCCAATGATGTTCTATGCGCACTTATCAATTGTTAAAATAATTGGATTTTAGAAATTGGTGTTTTCTTCCACTTAATAGCACATTAAAAAAATATATTATTAAATATTTCTTTAAAAAAATAAATAAAACCTAGTTTTTTAATGCTTAAAAAATTATTTTAGCTAATTAAAATTTCGTAATTACTTGGAAGAAGGTTTGTATTTTTTTTAAATATATATATATATTTTTTTTTTAAATTCGTGTGATAAATCAATGTCGTGCAATAACATACCTGTAACATCATGTAGTTTTTGTCGATATTAATGAATTTTCTGATCTCTTCGCCTTTATTGAGATATTTAAAATATTTTAATATTGTGAACTACGTCATGATCTAAATTAGTTCCATCATTCATTGGTTTAACAATGCAGAAAGTAAATTAAATATTCTAAAAAAAAAATTCAAAATTGGAAGGTTTAAAATCGAATTTTCCTTACTTGAGACGATTAGTATCATTAGAATTGTTTATTAAATATTAGAAAACTAATTTTATAGCTAAGGTTCAGAATTTTTTTTAGATTAAATTTATTATATTTTAGCTTAACTTTGTAATTTTTACACATCTATATAGAAATTGTAATTTTACGACATAAAATAGTAATTTTTATATCTTTTTTAAACATGTAATTTCACTGTTTATGTTTGCAACTTGCATTACAACTTGTGCATTAGCTATAACATTTGTTGGCAATTTCTCGTGTAATTTGTACATTTGTAAATAATACAAATTGATTTTATTATTTTTTGAATGTTTGAAATTTGTAATTTTCTTAGTAAATACTGTAAATTACAGAATAATTTCTATTCTGTACATATTTATTGTGTAGGGCCTATATAAATATTGAAAATTATACAAGATAATCTTATATAAATAATTTAAATGACTTTCGCAAATGTTATAAATTCTAAACATGTTCTTTAAATGTAAACAAATATTGTCTGTAAACGTAATTATAATATAAATTATTCTAATTATTATTAAATATATAACGTGCTAATCCCTTATTTACAGGGTATACATAGGAAAATAAATTTTAATTTAGTTAAAGATGAAAGTAATATACATCGATCTGTTTTCTTGATCTTCCTCTTCTCATTTGTATACTCAAATATTAATTAATTGCTTATTTATATAAGAAAACGTTAATTATTAATTGCTGTAAATAATTATTGCAAAATATAAATTTCAAAATAGCAAAACTTGAGGAAGAAGTGGAATCTAATCACTGACATTTGCAATGATTCATTCAAAAAATTTAAAATCCTAGTAACTAATATAGGACCCACATACTTCAAAAGCCATACATATTTTACAATTATCAAGAGAATTTTATCGATAATTTTGAGATAATTATTGCAAATTATCAATTAAAAACAGTAGAGTTTTTAAAAGTGGCAAGGCATAAAATATAAGGCCACGCAAATGTGGGGTTTAAAGACATACGTAAGGCCCTATATTTGTAGGCCCCACCCACAAATCCATTCACAAATATAGGACCTTACACATCTCCAAAAGCCATAAAAATATACAAATAGAATTATGGTAAAATAAATATACTTTTAATAGTTTTATTATTGATTTTATAGCATACTTTAACAAGTTTTTTTATTTTATAAATACAAATATTTTAATTTTAAAGAAAAAAAATTGTACCTTAATTCGATGTATAAATATTAAAAATTTAATTCTAAATTTTAATAATTGAAAGTAATAACTGAATAATATTATTTCTCCTTATTCAAATTTCAATTATAATAATAATAAACTAAATCAATTTACATTTAGAAATTTTATAAAATTAAAAGAAAATGTTTTTTAATGAAAATAATAAAGAAAAGTGATTAGTGTTTGCTTATACAACTTTAAAATTAAATTTTTTAGAATATTATTAAAAATAAATAATAATTTTAATTAAGAAACAAATTCAAAATTTCTTGAATTTTTCTTGCGTAAAATTATTTTTTAAGCCATAAAATTTTGCATTTTTTTTTAAATAAAAAATACAAGATTTAAAAAATTAAATTAAATTAAAC